AGCGGTCGGGCGAACGGTTTGGCCGGGGTGCTGAGGGGGTGCGGGGTGGGGGGGCTGCTGTCAGTCCGCTGTTGCTCTCTCTCCGCTCGCTGCGGTCGGTTAACAAAAGGTTGCCCAAATGACCCTTTTCAGACTTCATGAACAAATACAGAATCCATTTGTGTTCATTTCTAAAGCATCGCATTAAGACACACATAACTTTATTTAAGACGCTGCGCTACTTGCAGGTCGCTGTGTTGTGCCTGATTCTCAATAAAGTTAGAAAAAAATGATTAACGGCGAACGCGTGGCCGTGAAGATACTCATTAACATGTCATTTGCATGAGGAGGAGGGGGCGGGTCCATGTCTCCACTGAGAAAGGATCCTTCCAGCGGCCACCGGAAGAACCTACCACCGACCAATGCAACCTGCCGCTCCGAAAAGGTAACCTGCCACCGACCACCAGAACCTGCCGTCCGGACAAAGGAAGCTACCACCGACCACTTTTCGCACTCGGCCCTATTGTCCATGTGCCACATCTTCTAAGAGCGCAAGATCAGCCATTTTGCGTCATTACGCATTGTGATGGCATCGTGGCGTTTTATTACCGTCCATTTGATTGCATCTGACAAGCAACAGCTGTGTTTTGAGGATGAATTGCATAACATGCCAATATTATTGCAGAACATAATTCACTTTTCTTTTTGAAAATGTGTTAATTTGTATTTGTTTGTTTTACGCTGCAGATCGATCAAACGGGTGTTCGTGTTATTTATGAGAGGCAGTATTGGCATTTCTTTTACACAACAGTCTAGTTTTACACACTTTCACACACGTTTGCGTGTTTCTTGCATTTGCCGACAGTTCTCATTTAACCCGTTTTTGTGCGTACGCGTGGGTCCGAGCTTGCGTGAAGGACCGCACATTTTTCCGTCAAGTTAGCTTTTTATAAATACCAATTATTGCGTAGAGAGCGACGTACGCCTTCTTTTGTGCGTACGCAAGGTTTATAAATGAGGCCCCTGCTCTTCTGTTTTTTTAATCTTAAATGATTTATTAATTGGATCCAATAAAGAGAAACCATACAAGGGGATTTATTAATACATTCCCGTTAGAGAGGTGATTTTATTTAACCAACAACTTTTTTAAATGTATTTTATTCCTTCTCTTATTATTTTTAGTATTTATAAAGTAGTATTAGTATTAGTATTTTTGTAAACAGATATATTTTTATATACAATGGTCAAAATACTTACCAATCTCGAATCCCTACATCAGGCATTCTGATAATAGAAAAACATACAATCATTGAAGGAATAAATCAGATAATAGATCAAACTTTTTAGTCTCTTAAACAAGTTGGTATGATTTAACAATACCTTGTGCATGTGTGTATTTATTGCACCTATTTCATATTTTCATATGAAAACCCATAGTTATAAGTTCAAGTATGCAGTATCATAAATGCATCTCTGTACAGAGTTGGGATTTCAACATCATATGGAAATCATGTACCTATTTTAGAACATTATTCTATTTTTTAAAACATAACATAATTATTCATAAGTACGCGGTGTCATAACTACATCTTTGACGTTTATAACAAGCCGTGCGTTGTCTATGGACGCCATGATAAGAGCTGTTCGAATTCTCTAATGCTAAGGAAAGGAGCTTCAATGCTTAGGATAGGAACCACGGACCATCCGTTACGAAAGAAAAGGAGATAATTTCCTTCCCACAACTCCTTGCGGCCGCAATATTTAAATGAGGACGTATCATTCGGCCGTTCACGATAATGACTGATAAACGTAAATAGATCATGCAAGTAACCGTTAGCATAACTCATTCATACTGCACCCTTGTTAATAAAGTAATACTCTGGAAATGGATGTTTTATGTCGTCTGCATGACTCAGCACTGTAACAACACATGGACAAGATTCTTCTTTGTAGTCCATCTTCGGAGTTTCGTTGCTGCCCACTGACGTCATTAACAGGCGTCTCCCGTCGCATCAGAAATACGTAGCTCAGTAAAAGTGTCGGCTTCCCGAAACACTGGTTGTCTTTTCCTCTACTCATTAATTCTCCTGACCACCTTTTATTGACCCTGTGATGTTTTCCACAGAGGTCAAGGAATAATGGTTAGAAATAAATATAAATAATATATATTGGATATTTTTTTGACAATTCAAATCCAGCCAGAGAGTTAATTTCAAGTGTGGGATTTGTGTTTGGAATATGTTGCTGTAAGGTTCTGGGAAAATATCCTATTGACAAATGAATAAAGTCTGACTTTAAAAAGGCTTCATCTCATTGTGGGGTCTGCACCTGCATTCATCACAGTCCTGTAACATATCATACAACACATACTTTTCATAGATCACCACACTGTCATCTGCAAATCTCAAAAAAATTTGCATAGACTCAAACGTGTGTTTACCCGCCTATTATCTGGTGTCTTCTGCTAGAGGATGAAGCTGTTCTCAACATGTGTTGCTCTTCACTGAGGTTCCTTCCTCACATGAACGAGGGTCTAAGGACGGAGGGTGTCACATGCTTTAAAAGCAGGTCGTCACAATGGCAACAACTCTGCTGTTTGCATTGGGATGTGGCACATGGAGAGAACGATGCCATCTCCATCTATGAACACAGAGCATCACCTTTCTGTTCTGCACCGTGCTCACTGCTCTCAGGCTGCAGAGATGTATCATTTTCAATGCAAAAAGGATTCTTATTGGAGTATTTGCGCATCTTTAGTGCACATGGGACGATGTCAAGGCAGGTTTTTTCTTTATTTGGCTTTTGCCTCTTAAATTCCATAAAGGCTTTGTGTTATGCAAGCTGTAGCTTTACAGCTCGACGATTGAAGCGTGGGGGCTCTGTAGAAGCTCAGGCAGTGGACTGGTAGGATGTACAACTATCCCTGATGCCCACCAGTTCACAGCTCTTCTTCCACAGCTCGGCCTGGAGCTCCGAGTCGTAGGAGCTGTCGGAAGACTGAATCCTGTGGCTGTTGTACAGGTAACAGGCCCCCACCCCCTCCAACTCAGAGGAGGCTGCAGCATAGATGGATATGGAGGCTCCCTCTGCTGGAGTCTGAGAAGAACAAGTCAGAGAAAACAAACCATGGGAGTTTAGTTCTTCAGGACCTAAGCAAATATAAGCAGAGCTAGCCCTCACGTAGACCATCGTCACCTTCTTATCAACAAAGAGCTTTGTTCAGATCCACCAAGCACAGGTCTTTTGTGCACCATGGTTAATAAGGTAATGGTAATGGTAGTAATTAGCTATCGACTCTTACTTACTTACGCTTACTAACGGATCATTTGATTTCATTCCAAAGCAAACCTGGCTCCAAACAGTGCAAGTCATCCGTGTAATGTAATGACCAAGAATGTGTGGAATGACTGAGTTGTTCACTTCGCCTCTGACAGACGAGAGGCTCCTTGTTATTTTTTCAGTATGGATTCGTTTTGCGCTCATGGTATGCAGCGTTGTTGTTCTGTTTGGTTACTGCTACTCCTCATTAACCAACCACACATACACCATATAGTCTCATTTGAAAAAGGGTCAGCGAGTGGTTTGGTAGTTCCAATGTAGGATCTCGCTATTCCATCGGTGAGGTTACAGATTACAACAAATCCAAACTTTTACCGTCCTTCCTTCAAGCTCTAGAGCCGATGTAGTGCTGCTTTTATTTGACAGCGATGTTCCATTCAATGTTTACTTCTTTTTGGCAAAAAGACAACAAAAATGTTTATGTATGAAAGCTATTTTTTTGATACTCTTTAACTGAAGTCATCCCACATTCCATGTTTGTGATTGGTTACTGATTCCATACAATTAACAGACATTTTCACATTAAATCACACATGGAAAGATAAAAGGAGACCGCGACAAACACAAATCATCTGTAGGCTTAAGTAGCCGTTGCTAAAGCACCTAGGAATCTCATGTGCTCATACTGACACGGCGAAACTCTCTATAAGCTAGCAGGGAACGATGTGAACACATCAATGTTAATGGAAAGCAGAACATATAGGAGGTAAGTACACATTGGGGGTACTACAGTATACATTAAGAAAAGGGTTCCACAGTACAGAGGGTTCTCTGATAAAGAACCACCAGCAGCTTCTTCAGGAGAACTCAAAGGGCTACTTGGTAATGACATCATCTTTATTGGGCTCTGATAGGAAGACCACCTGACCGGACGTACCAAAGCCAACTCGTGCTCTGTGTTAGATAGAACCAGGCGATGCCATCATATCACAGCAGTCAGATCAGATATATTCAGATCATTTTACAGGACCAAGTATAAACAAAACTTCATGCATGACAAATGAGACAAAGATCAACTCGTATCAGAATGGTGGGAAGAGTAGGGAGAAGGAAAGTAACTGCTTATGATCCAAAGCATACCACCTCATCAATGAAGCATCGTGGAGGTAGTATGGCTGCCAATGCAACTGGTTCCCTTGTATTTATTGAGGGTGTGACTGCTGACAAAAGCAGCAGGCTGAATTCAGAAGTGTTTCTTGCAATAATATCTGCTCATAGTCAGCTAAGACAGTTATAGACAGACTGAAGACAGTTGCGTTCACCAGGGATGAAACCCAGCATCTGGTGAGGTCTGGAACCTATTTCCAGGCTTCAGGCTATCATTGACTGCAACGGATTTGCAACCAAGTATTAAAAGTGACAATTTATGTTTGTTAGTTTGTCCAATTACTTTTGGTCCCTTGGAAAGGGTGTGAGGCACTTATCACATTTGTTGTTATTCTTACACGTTTATATATATGGGAAGCACAAGGTTGTTGGTTCGATTCCAGGCTGCCCCATGTTCCATGTCGAAGTGTCCCTGAGCAAGACACCTAACCCATAATTGCTCCCCGGCAAAAATGTGAAAAAGCCATGGGTTTAAAGTGTAATGTAAGTCGCTTTGGATAAAAGCGTCTGCTAAATGACCTGTAATGTAATTACATATATATATATATTATATTTATTACACACACACACACACATATATATATTGATTCTTTAATGTCAACATCCTATGGAAAGTGGCATTGCTTCAGGAAACAGGAAGCTGGCATTGACGTCCACAGAGCAGTTCCTGACGTTGTGATCGCAGACAGAGTTGAGTTGGTGGTTGAAATGAAGGTATTCCTGCAGAAGCCATCACTTCCAGATGAGCAGTAGGAAAACGGGTCTCTTTTAGTTAAACGGCATATGTGCTGTGCAGTTTCTGCAGCCCACCAAATGGGCCTTGAGCAGATGAGGTCTATGGCGTGTTTGTGTCTGTGCTCTCCTCGCTGTCAGCACTGACCGACTGCTGCTCCGCCAACATGTCTGTTAGCTTCAGCTCAAGCACTGGATCCCTGGACTCTGCTTCCACCTGCAGGACAAAGGCAGTACTGTTATCATGTGCTGCAACGTCAGACAGGGACTGGTTTACTCCTGATTCTATTGCCAGGAATCACAAGCTTTCATTTCCTTTGAATGTGTAATGTTATCCTTCAGTTTGTGTGCTAGCAGGACAACAACAGCTCCTAAAAGTGCCTTTGAGGTGGAAAAGAACAATGTGGTAACCTTTGTACCTGTGTTTGCACCTTGATTGAGATTTGCAGAGTCATTTTTTATTCTACTTCAAAAGGAATAAAAGCATAAATGCTCTTCAGTATATAATGGACTTCAGCAACCAGCAGAGAGACAATAAAAAACGAGGAAATGGGTGACACGTGTAATGACCACATTTACTGACCCATTATCTAGTTAACTTTGATTTGTAATTGGTCATTGTGAAATACATTGGACGTGTCAGCTAGAGACAGCAAGACGTGCTGTGTTGAAACAACGTTTGAAAAATAAAACCTAAAACTTAAACCTAAAACGTTTGAGATTAGAAGACAATTTTAGAGGAAGATCTTAAGTATGAAGCACTACGTTCCATCACTGAAGACTACTACAATGCTCTTATCTATTTTCTGTAACCAAGAAACCATCTAACTCCTTTTTAAACCGGCAACTCAACCCAGTCTACATGATAATCACGTGATATTTATTTACAGGCCTGTGTGGACGGAGACTGTTGGAAACGAGGACTTATTAATGTGGATGGACCCTAGGACACTTACAAGACGAGCTCCTCTGCGCCTCAGCATGATGCCCTCTTTGAGCAACGCCTTCCCTGCCTCTTCAAACAGAGCAGAGTCCTGCAGCTCACCGTGGCTCTTCAACTCTGTGTACTTGTCTACAAACCTTGGGAGCAGAGTGAAATAGTTAATAACATAGTCAATGTTAACCGTGTATTTTATTTCACTTAATAAATAAATTGGGAAATACTACAGATTCGGCCATACAAATAATACACAGCCAAAATATTTAGATCCCATTTGACATTTTGACCGTCTCTCTCGCATATCATATCTTCTCATAAATCAGCAAAAGCATAATGATGCCATTATTTTAATCAGAGGGGGAAACAAACCTCTGACATGTTGAAACAAAGTTGGACTTAGACAGATCCAAAGGCCGAGGACCCGTCCCGTACTTCACGTAGAACTTCCTGAAAGGTAGACACATATGTGTGAGTGGGGGGAGTGTGCCTGCACAGAAGGCTCATTAATAAGGGATGCTCACCTGGGGCAAGTGAAATGGCATGTCGAGGATTGAGTAAGGAAGTGATACTAATAATTGAACACATTTCTTCTTTTATAGCCGATATTGGTCACCAAGCGGTGTTCTTTGTAATCCTTGTGGACAACAGTGGTTGTTCTAAGCACCAGACTCCATTTAGAGAAACTTTGCATTTAGAATGTGACATTCCGCCTTTTTGAGTCACGGGGGTAGGTTCTTCCGTGCCTTCCTTTGCTAGGAACAGCGGACTTAGTTTCTGGGGAAACCGCATGATTTCATTCGATTTTGTGAGAAATATATAAGCTTTAAGAACAACCTTTTTAAAATAGACAGTTTGATGGTCTCGTTTATGGTAAATGGACTGCACTCACAGAAGATTTAAATGCAGATCAGAAATGACAATTGATTAATTAAGTCTTTCTTGTTACTTAATATCTCCTGACAATTATCAATTGCACTGTAATGTTACAAAATTCAATAATTAATTAAAAAATGGTGTATTGCACACTTACCACCCTTTACACATAAATGGTTAAATATTTTTGTAAATCTCAACTAAATCTCAAAAAAATAAAAATACTTAAACAAGTAATCAAATCCAATAAAAACAAAGCTATTGCCCAATGCCAGGCCATTCATGTATTATCTAGTGTGTTATATAAAAACAAGTAAATAAATAATAATCTATATTAATAATCTGCTATCCCCTTTCCCCACCCCTCCTGTGATCCATGGTTTGTCTGTATGAGTCTTCAGAGCCAGTGACCAACAGACTTTCAAAATAATACAATATTTTTTTTAAACTGCCCTGTTAATTAATTAATGTTCTTGCCCAGTCCTTAGTGTCAATCAATGATGTGCTAGGAGGGAACCAGCAAATGCGCTGTAGTTTATCAATAAAACAGTTGCAATGATTTTATGTATTCCGGTGGTAAACACCAGACCTGCTGAGCTCATCGCTGTTCTCATAAATATCTGTGCTATGACACATAAGAAGGTGAATTCGAACAAAAAGAAATGATTCAGACAACCACATCTTAATATTATGAAATTCCTTAAGAATAACCCACAATTGCCTTCATTCATTACAGCTATGAAGTTGTCAACCTTATTTCAAATTAAGGCCAGTGGACAGTGTAAAAAAATCTCTCAATAGAGAGAGCAGAGCTGAAGGTGATATTCCACTAAATTAAATACCAATGACCACTAAAATTGCACACAATCCATGTTATTTTCACATTATTTACACCAGGAGCAGGTAGGTGACATGGAAGCACATATAATCACTAAAGTGAATACTTACGCTCTGACTTCATCCTCTTTGTAGAAGATTTCAGGCACAGTTTCTTGTTTCTTGGTAACGGGTCTGGTGTGCGGCTTTACGTGAAGTGGGTCCCTCTTGGGAGGGAAGGCCTCGTATACATCATACCAGATGGGTTTCTCTAACGGCTTTATAACGCCAGAGCGCATCAGATCTCGAACCCTGTAGAGTAACAGATGGATCAGAGAATACACAGAGGTGAATTAACCATATGTTGATGGCTTAAACTCAAAGATCGTAAGTATATAGCTGTTCTAAAATATGATGCTGAGCTCGTGTTCCCATTCTTAGAATGGGAAATCTGAATAAGTAAGTATCAAATGCTGTGAATTACAACACTAATTTCACATTAGTCACTGCGCGTCCTCAGGCAGAGCTCCTTGTTCCTTCCTTCCTTCCTTTTAGTCGTTTATCATCTCATTAGTTAAGAGCCTTTTTTAAAACCTCTTTGTGACATGAGTCTCGGTCGCATGCTTATGATGTCATCAAACTCCTTTGACCGGGGATGGTCTTGAAACCCGTTACGGACTTAACTTAGCTAACGTTAAGCGAACAGTGAGCCTATTCCGGTAATTCACAGTATACCGATTTGGCCTTACTTTCAAAACATTTTTTATTGCGCTTGATCCGATGGCTTTTAACAGGTCAAGGACATTGCTAACACTAGCCCCTGTTAGCTCCTTATCTACCACCGGCCTTTCAGCACATCGTGAAACGCTGCTTCCTTACCGGGTGAACACGGTTCCAAACTTTTCAAGTCGGCTGCCAGCCATTGCTGTTGTCTTATTGACAGACGTCAAATTTGTTCATATGTCCAATACCGATATCCGGTGGGATCTTCTTCTTCTTCTGCGTTATTTTCCGGCAGACTAGGTACGTTGCTGTCTCCTACAGGTGTAGAATTGTCATTGTAGTTTTTGCCCGTATATAATATATAAATATATCTCCCGAATTAGATTGTGTGGTCGTAAGAAATAGTACGACTTCTACTCTAGTGCACTCTGTTCGAGACACATCACTTACGGGAGAAGGGGTTAGGGGTTATTCTTTCTCTCCGTTTGCTTAATTCAATGAATAGAATCCTTTCCGAAGCACAGAGCAGCAGTATATCAGGACATGTTGTACGGACTCCAGGTTTAAAATCATTTGCATTTTTTCGCGACAGGCATTATTAATATAATAACTCAAGGAGGGGCCACCCCCGTGGCCCTCTATTGGCCAGCCGCCACTGATCATTTCAGTATTTTGGGGATTTTACTAGAAGTTTTACACATACAGGCTCACTTCTGAGCTCATTACCACCTTCATTACCGAATTGTGCAACCCTGCGTTGAAATGACAAATAAATTAACATCTTTTCTTCAACATGTTATCATTGACGTCCATCTTATCCATCCTACTTTTCCATAAAATGAAGATCTTTTAGTCTTTTCTTTGTCTTTCCGTGAAACCGTTGTGGGTATGCAGCAAGAACGCAGCTTTCAATCCAATAAAAGAAGAAAACTCTGGATTTACACAAGCCTCTTTATAGGATTAAAACTTTAGACTGTTAATTCTACATTAATGCGAGTGGGAATGTCAAGAATGCAGCCACACTCTCCTATCCGTCCTTGTTCACAGGACCACCAATACCGTCATCTGATTTTCGTCACACCAAATTTTCCAAAGATATCAAAATATATCTTGCTGCAGGTTAAGAAGAAATAACTATGACTATGGGTTTGTGAGATTTTATAACGATAGCTTGAGAGGGAACCAAGAAATAATATAAGGTGAGGCCAGCCAGATCAAGGGATTTTACAGTAAAATAACCAAAATACTTTTTGCTAAACTAAATCAGAATACATTATAGGGCAATCTAAAACATACTGAAACATTTAGCATTATTTTACCACTGTACAGCATTGCATTAAATGCTCTTAGCGTCTGAGGATATCATTTTGGTCGTCACTTTGATTCTACCATTATCTTGTATTGGAAAAACAGTACAGGCAGGCTTACTGCAACTGCTGTAAGGAATATAAAAGACAATGAACTTCAACCCCCCACACCTTACTACAGATACAACTAACCCTGCTGTATGGATCACTTAACAAGAGCTCAAACAAAGCACACATCACTATAATACACAACTCTACACAATAAAAAAAGGACGCACACCTTCTGTAAAATGCATGCATGCTGTGCTTTGGAATTTATTCTGTTCCTTAACTTGAATAATTCAACCTTTTCCTGAAGAGAAAGCCCAAGAACAAGAACATGGAAAGGTTTTGTGGGGATATCTGAGAAACCTTGAAAGCACAGAAAAGTGAACAGACTATAGTTTGTCAGTAGGTGGCTTTTCAGATTCCAGAACAGGAAGAGTTTTAGAGCTGCAGGGCTGACAGGCGGGCTTGTAAGACCAGGTGGAGTTTCAGGAATGTCACCACGTAACAGGTTGGTTGGTCAGAGGAGGAGCAAAGAGCAGGAAAGAGAGAGTCATACATGCAATAATTACAGCGTAGGCAGAAATAAGTGACGCACTCTGGTTCCAAAGGCTGCCTTTGTAGCTAACAACACTTTTGTTCGGACTGACAGGAGCGGTAGACGTGGGGCCCAGGAACCCATTTTCTGTTCTTGGACTCGGTTATAGGATTTAATTCTCCCCACAACTTTCCTTCTCTAGTCATGGATTTTCTCCTGGATTCTGGCTAATCATGACATCTTTTTTTATCCCAGTTTCCTCAAAGTTAAAAATTGTTTTTCACACTCACTTTGTTTTTAAAAGCAAAGAGAATCATTTACTATGTCAGTGGCTGCTCTATTCAGGAGCAAGTGGGGGCACAAGTCACAGCCACCACCTGAGAAACATCCAGCAGCTTTGGTTAAACCCAGCCACGGAGAGGACGACGATGAAGATTTGACCAGAGAGCCTATCCGCAGGAACTCCCGCTTCTATCGGTCAATGAGGAAGAAGAGGCAGAGTTCATCTGAGCAGCTTGAAAGTAAGAACATCAGGCCACATTGCTTGCATTGTCACATTGTTTTTGTACAGAACCTCAAAGGTGGGGAATTCTCACACGTTAATCAACATTTACTTGAGTATTCTGATCAGTTGCCAGTTGGCAATGATGCATTTGTTTTTGGAAGGGGGAAAAGGCTGGCTACTTCCATCTTAAACCATTCAAGTTCAACCTGAGAAACTAGTTTTGTTTAAGAAGCACAATGATCAAAATAATTTTTCCACAGGTCAACCTTGTGATTTCAACCAAAAACCAACTTGAAGTTGGTGTGTGGAAATGAAATCACCTAGGTGTCACTGTTATCCTGTTATTAAGAGTCTAAAAATCTTTCCTTGTGTTCTTCTGATGGGCGATCTGCCGTCTGCTCAGAGAACAATGATAGTCTTAGTCATTGTTCACGAAAGGAATTTACCATATTCATTCAATAGAGCCACACCAAACGCAACAATAAAGCATTTCAGCTTAGACTTTGCCCTGCATCTCAGATAGGCCTCAAAAGGAGGGATTAAGTGATTATTTAAGGTAGAACACAGCCTCTGCCTCTCAAATAAATTCAGTAGAAAAACGGTAAAAAATGTCAAATTGAGTCGCCTGAAATAATAAATAACCTGAATCTTGAAATGAAAAAGAAAATGTGCATTTTCAGCAGCAGTTTAAGAAAATATGATAAAATATTTCTTTGATCCTATCAACAGTTTCCAGCTATCTATAGTGCTAATTTTGTGTAAGATTTACACAGGCACTGATAACTTTGATGAGATGGTATTTGCTTTGACAGAATGTCTGATAAATGCACACCAGATACTAGCACAGCGTGGCCAACGTGGCCAACACAACGAAAAATGTTTCTCACTGAAAAAAAAAACATGCATTTCTGTGGCCGCAATGCAAGTTTTGGGATTCAGAAATAAAAATGTAAGAATACAAATCAGCTAAATTAAGATTATCTTTACCATGACATCATTATCATGGAGTACTATTCTTTATGCTTTATCCTGATGGAAATAAACATAAATGCAGTGTATTTGATGTCCTTCCATTAACTCTAACAAACCAAATTGTAATGCCTGTAAACGCTTTTTGTAACACTTTGTTACTTACACATCTTATTTTCGAACATTTATAGTATATTTTGAATTTAACAGACTTTGTACAAGTTAACCGATTAGACAATTGTAAATTGGTGTAAATACAAGCGACAACTCTGACGTATCAACAATAATCCTCAAATCCTCCAATCTTAACTTTTCTGTGCTGCGCAACTAATGAAGAATGATCTTATCTTATCTTAAATGGAATTGAAAACTGTAATAAAATACCCCTCTGATACGAAGGAATGTGATGGAGCCCATAGTTTGTGCTTTTTATATAGGGCCCTAAATGCAGCCACAAGGCCTTTCAAATACTAGTGATACAATCATTATTGAAAGAAGGCAAAGTTGTATTTCTATACAAATGAGACGGAGAATACGTTTTTCTTATGTTTATAGCTCAGATGTTTGCCCTCCTTAATCGACTCAGAGGGACAGAATAGAATTGTAGAACAGCAACTGGCAACCTCTGGAAAAATATTTTAATATGGGCAACTTAAACATTTTAATATTTAGAGTCAAATGAATTTTTCTGTCTTATTCTACATTGTGAGCGCCTCACTCACACAGGCCTGAGGGGGGACGGAAACATCGGACAGAATGAATGAGAAAAACTCCAACGGTGAATAAAAAGGTTTGTAGTCAATGAAAGGAGTTAGTGAGTGAGAGCTGGTAGCACTGTTACATCAGTACACCAACCTTTTGTCATATAAAAGCATATTCTGCCTCCCTTTGTTTTTACCGACAGAGTTGTTACGTGGTCCGCTCCGAGGAGTTGAAGCCTGACAGATGTAGCTCACTGTCCAGATGTATTCACTGAGCCAGGTTTCAGTGAAACAGAGTGAGGGATCTGCTGAAGTCCGTGTGTGCTTTGTTGAGGAACAGTAGTTCATCCATCTTGTTGGCCAGAGAGCGTTCACCAGAGGAATTGATGGGACGGCGTCACCCATAAACCCAGATCAGAGCAGCTGGTGCTCTAACTAAAAGCCCTGTGGAGCAATTTGCTCAATAATGTACGTCAGAAGAGTTTGACCAATGTATGGTCTAAAGTATAAAAGTTCTTCCCTGCTGAATGTGATCAGAGAAGAAGAGCTGGAGACGAGACCAACAGAGGTCACGGCACCGTCAAGCCTGATGATGCATTTGTGAGATTGAAATAAGTAGATGATTACATTCTACACTATTGTGGCGGATTATAAAGAGACTATGGGCTACGGTGGGTGATCAAAAGATTGGCGGTTCGATCCCCGGCTTCGCTGATCTGTATGGTGGATCAGTAGCTACATCAACGCTGTGTGAATTGTGTGAATGTCAGTTCCTAATGCGCAGGTTGCACTGTGTATGGTAGCTCCTGTCCTGTAATAGCGTATGTGACTGATGAAATTCAGTGTGAAAGGGCTTTGAGTGGTCGCAAGACTAGAACAGAGATATACAGTCTATTTACTGTCTCCTTCTGACTGCAGTTCTCCCAATCTCTCTCAGATTCTACCAATCCTGGTTTGGACCAAAGTCCTTCCAGCAGAGCTGGAGTCACCTATTCTCATGCTCCCTTGTCCAATAAATCACCTTTGTTGCCCATGGACAGACGGTGAGTCCTCATGCCTACTACTGCCCCACCCTGTTGGTGGAACACGCCCCAAAAACCAACCAGCGCATGCAGTGCTGGTTGAGACACTGCATACATACACCACTCTTACACTTGATACTTCACACACACTTATCTATTTGTATCATGTCTGTGATAAACCCACAAGATATTACTAGCCTCATTACCACTGAAACAACAGTCACACGATCAGTTATAGCCGGAATATGAAGCAATATGTTCAAGCCCCAGTAATGTGGTAGGACTGCTCCCCGTCAACACAAGCTGATAGCCGTCTACGAGTGAATGATTAAACCTCATCACCCTTTGGATCACTTGTGTGTCTCTAAAAAACAAAGCTTACCCTAAGTTTACCCTTTGATAAGGAGAAAGAATCCCAGGAGTGCTGTATACAATCACGTTTGTGATAACCGGCTCACAGCTTGAGGATTTCAGTATGAACGACAAGATTTTATTAAAAACTACTTGGACACTTGACATAGAGAAGGTTGTAATCTTCACCAAATGTCCATAATCTTTGCCACAGAATTTGATAATATCCTCTAGCAGCTTTATCTAGGGTTGAGCATTTGAACAGTCCATGTCTAGTCCTGTGGTCCGTCTGTCGAGTGCAGCTTCATCCGGAATGAATGATGAAGCCAGCTCTCTGACGACGTGGGCTCCAAAGTCACTAACCTCCCGTTTTTTGGTTAACCTGAACTCTCTTGCGCCCAATATTAGCTATGAGCACACTTGGTGGCAAAATAGCATTAGATCTCAGCTGGATTAGCTTAGCTTTTAGCTCTGCTCTCCTCTAACTCAATGTCACTTTCAGTTCTGCTTGGCAGGTGTGGAGTTGTCTGATGACCTGCCTACCATCAGTGAATGCAAGCCCCCCACTTTATTATCCAATTCTCATGAGTGTGTTCTATCACATCCTATAAGTTATCCAATATTAATGACAAAGGATAAATGAAGACTATAAATGGAGACAAAAATGTAACATAATGCGCATGGTTTTAGTCATATTCACTATAGGTTATGGCATTTTGATAAAAACTAAGGATTCATTTTTGGGGGTAAAGACAGATGAATTACCTTTCAGAACTTAAACAACAGTTGAACTAAAAATGCAATCTTTAGCCTATGAATTAGGACAGAATGTCTAAAGGAGTCTGTGGCTTAAACGACTGGATATACTGTACATTGTGATGATCACAAGAAAATACAGAGAGACATGTGAACACGACCATTGTGGATGTGATTCGAAAGTGTTTTTTTACTGTCCATCATTCCAGAGCTGTGTTGCCAAGCAATGATGGGGCCAGAGATGTGGATAAGAGAGGAGGAGGAGTGGGAGGAGGGAGGAGTGTGGACATATCTGCTGCCTCCGACAGCCAGCATAAGAATTGTGCAGCCGACATGATCACGTACCGGACTCACGGCATTCATAGCAGGGACATAAAAAACCTGTCAGCACAAACAACTGCAGCTTGCACTTTACAGGAGGTCGGAAGGGAAACCATGAGTGCTCAACGGCCCAGTTCTCACGGAGCGGATCAGGACAACGCCAACCTCAGGTCAGATATGATTCCAGTAAAAACAGAGCGCTGTAAAGGACAGAAATGAAATAAGATTATTTGTAGGAAGCTTAGCCTGTGGGTTCCTGCGAATGGTAAATCTTAAACATGAATCTGAAAAATATCAATAATAATTGTCCATACTGTTTTTGCTTGTGAGCAACAAAATTGGTGATGGAGGGACTGAAATAATTAATTAAGATATGACTCATTGTCTAGAGAGTGAATTTGAAGATGCATAGATAAATGTTTTCTGTATTTTCTTTATATAACGTGCAGAGCAATTCCGCCATTCAGGTTCAGTTTGCTGGGTTTGATGACGAAGATCTTTCCCTGCCTGCCTTTTCAAGCTTATATTCCCGTATTGTCTTTAATTTTAGGTTGCCGAGCAATGGTGCTGGCTCCCAGACAATCTGCCACAGCCTCAACATCATCAAAAATATTGGTGAGGAAAGACATGACCTGAGGGTAGACGTATGTATTCCACTGACCTGTTGCCAGTTTCACGGCTGACAAAATCAGCTCTTATTTGTGAATATATTTTAAATGGCGAAGAATTAATATTGTTAAGACACACAAAATCACAAGCAACACACGCACACAATTTACTAACACACAGTAGGCCTGATAAGACTTTAGCACAGCCACTGAGCAGTATTGTTCAGTGCACACAGGAAAATGATTATGAATGGCATGAACAGTGAGTGCCCATTTATCTGTTTACCAAAGACTAATCAATGTTCTTTTCTCCGAGCTTTACATTTCTTGGTTGTATATGCACATTTTCCTCCCTTACGTAAGCGTCAGTCCAGTTCTACGCCCACCAAAGCAATCTGCAGTATATGACTGTGGGAGATTATGCAACAGGCTCATGTTGTTCAAAATCACCTTCCCTCTTGATATACACATAACCAATGTTCTCTGTGAAGCACGGATGTTCTTTTAGTTTAGTCCTGGTACACATATCTACAGGTATTCTTATTCAATACAACATTATGAACTTTTCCAGTTTCTGTGTTTTGGCCTCCGTATGTTGATTGGTTCAAACAGCTGCTAACTTTTTCAAATCTAGTTACACACTTCTGCTTTTTAGAAGAGGAGGTTGTATAACTTGACACAAGCACATTTACTACAGATATCACACTAATGAGACCCTTCTTGTTCATGTTCATTTACTGTGTAATCCAGCAGTATGAGTTTTATGGATGTGCTTAATTTATGTGTCCACCAAATATTAAGATCCTAATGAACCATGGATTGGCATTCTTTTTGTGCTAAAAGACACAAACTAGATTTCAATTTGTTGACTGTTTCTTAAAAGGTGTGAGACTGGGTTGATTTATCAGTTTTATGATACAGGTCAATGTTAATAACATTTTAACATTTACACACTTGCAATCAAGGAAACTGCTTTCCTGTCCTGGAAACTGATTCAGAAATATTATTAAAAAACGTACCATCCAACCAAATATATAAAATGTAATATTGATTTTTAAACTATGGTTACAAATAATCTGTATAATAATAACGTCATCATATTAGTGCTGTTGTTATAAGCACAAAATAAACAACACATCCTGATCAGTCACCCTGAATGTTATTACAGTAACATGACAACATGATCCCAGTCTTTCCTTCACACGACAGAACATTGTAAACCTGCTCAGATATTTTTACAAATTGAAGTTGTAAAAAATGAGAAATGAAAGTGGAAAGTACAATTTTGTATCATATGGGGATGATTAGTCTAATCCCACGTTGTAACCCTTCACACTTTGAGGCGCGCTCCTGCTAACTGAGAATTTTGGCCTGTTCCATTGTCAGATTGTTAAGTGTTTGACGGCTCTCAGGCAGACATTTTGAGCCTTTTATAAACCCTTTTGGCAAGTCAACATTGTATGCTGATGTAGCCCAAGGGAATTACCCACAGTGACAGTGATTGCATTGTGACTTTAAATACGGGACAACCAGTGAACGTACAGTGACGTAAACAAACAGGACAGCACACATGTGTTCAGACTGTCACAAATCATAATTTATTACATTGTCTGGGTGACGTGACATTTGGCATCAAAGTGCTGTCCCATTGATATTCACACCCTTTAAAACTCTCACACTCAACCACTTACCAGGTGACAGCAGTCCCTGAAGGTTTAGGGTTTAGAGGGAAGATTGAGATTGGGGTTTTGACTCTTACCATGCTGCAATGTTGTTAGATATTTGTTGAGTTAAAGATGGATTTCTTTTGGCCGAACAACAGTCCATTTAGATACAAGACTCACCCAACTGGTCAGTAACTGATTGCTGAAAAACACATCACCATGGAGACTTGCGAGCTGGTCTAAAAAGCCACTTTTCATTAGAGGACGACCCTGCTCTCTGCTAACAGTGGAAATCCATACCTTTGCAAAAGAATTGACTTATTGTCTTTTTCCTATCCAGCCTTCCTCTACCAGGAATACCGGGACACTTCTAAGCAGCAGGAGATTGAGCAGCGGCGGCAGCGTGAGAACCTTTCTCCTGAGGTCCCACCGGGGACTTTGATGGATGGGTCCGGTGTCCTGTCCCCTCCCGTGTTGCAACTGCAGCTTAGGAACAATGCTCAGTCACTGAGCTTATGGCAGAACCTGGAAGTAGTGCAAGCCAGTGGCCTGCTCACCCGATTACCACAGAGTGAAATCATAATGCAGGAGGTGAGCGATTTTGTTCGGCTGAACACTGATATAAATATGTAGAGATATTGCAGTACAGCTGCACAAAATGATATGGTTCACTAAAAACATACTCCTTATAGCTGTAGGAAAGTCAGGGTTTCACCAAAGAAGGTGGACTTTATCATCTGGGGATCAGGAATGTTTATCTCTCTAATAATTTCAGAGATATTTAAGTCTGGATCAAACTGTTGCAAAGTCTTTCCGACAAACTGACATTGCCATTTCCTAGAGCCACGCTGCTCGATAGGTTAGCATTACTGAGAATTCTAGTGACAGAATAAGAAAAATGAAAAAGAGATTACTTCCTTTTTCTCTGATCTGAGTGATTGGAACAGATACTTTGTTACAAAAAACATTCATGAAGTTTTGTTCTTTTATGACTTTATTATGGGTTAACAGAAAAAGTGATCAAATCTGCTGGGTCAAAAATATACATACAGCAATACTAATTGGTTACATGTCCCTTGGCCATTTTCACTTCAATTAGGCGCTTTTGGTAGCCATCCACAAGCTTCTGGCAAGCTACTCGTTGAATCTTTGACCACTCCTCTTGACAGAATTGGTGCAGTTCAGTTAAATTTGATGGCTTTCAGAGAAGTTCACAATGCCATGCTATGAAGCTCATGCTATGAAGCTCATTTAATTGACACAACCTTCTAAGTCACCATCCATCCATCCATCTGCAAACCGCTTATCCTGCACACAGGGTCACGGGGTGGCTGGAGTCTATCCTCGCCAATTTCCAGCTATAGACAGGGTACACCCTGGGTTGGTCACCGGCCAATCGCAGGGCTAACACAGAGACATACAACCATTCACACTCACATTCACACACCTACTGGCAATTTAGAGTCTCCAATCAACCTGATCCCCAGAGCATGTCTTTGGACTGTGGGAGGAAGCCGGATTACCCGGAGAGAACCCACGCAGACTCCACTTAGAAAGGCCACTGGGCGGAGTCGAACCCAGGACCTTCTTGCTGTGAGTCAAGTGCTAACCACCACACCATCGTGCCGGCCCCGTTCTAAGTCACCAAAATTTCTAATTCACGTTGCTGTATGTATATTTTTGATTCAGCAGATTTTGTCACTTTTTCTGTTAACCCAGAATAAAGTCATAAAAGAACCCGAGAAAAATCAGACTGGGAAACTGGGAAATAATGGGAAACTCAAGAGAGCCATGACATTATGTTCTTTACAAGTGTATGTAAACTTTTGACCACAACTGTATGCATCAGATCGTCTTCACAACAACTGTTTACTGGGTATAGCGATCTTCAGTTTTAATGTATTGATGTGGTACTATGATTTCCTTTTTCTGTCCAGGCCATGTTTGAGCTAGTTACCTCGGAAGCATCGTACTACAAGAGTTTGGAGATTTTAGAGACTCACTTCCTACGTAACCCAGATTTGATCAACACTCTCAGCCAATCTGATGTGCATTTTTTGTTCTCCAACATTGAGGAAGTGATGAAGGCCAGTGAAAGGTAGGACATGGTCTTGTTTAACACAAATCAGTTCATGATTGAAAGTCTGTTTAAGTTCCAGTCCAGAAAACAAGCTCTTATGTCATATCCCTTGTTATTAAATTCAGGTTCCTGATGGATCTTGAGCACCGAATGGAGAAGTCTATTTTGATATCTGAAGTGTGTGACATTGTTTACCATCACGCTGTGGAACACTTCAATGTCTTCATCAAATACGTCATAAACCAGGTCTACCAAGAGAAGAACTATAGACGCATTTTGTGAGTATTGATTTTTAAAAACAATGTAAATGATATCTTCTTCATACACTGCTCAGACCAATACGGCATCCTATTTGACTATTGAGGAGAGGGAGGAAGTGGGAGCAACAATAAAAGGCGTCATACTTCAGACACTGCTTTTTTAATGAATGTTGTCAGCCTGGCTTTTCAGTATAAGACAGGTTTGCTTTTGATCACAACACATGGGGTGTGCAGGGTGTGGTTGACTATGAATATAATGCATTTGTCCCTCTTCATCAACCACACATACCTGAGTAAAAGGGTAGCGTTCCCACGCCCTGCGGATGACACGTTCCTCTGATGGCAGGCATTATTGGAATTCTGCCAGCTAGCAGAAAAGGCAAAAAAAAACCTTCTGAGACCTGCTGGTTGTTTCAAAATGAAATTGGAAAATGTTAAAGCCTGCAACTGTTTTGTGAGCTAAAACTTTGCAGCACTAAGAAATGATATATATATTTGATGCCATTGCTCATCTGATTTGGAAATATGCAGTACATTATGCAAATGTGTTGGTGTAATAGTCTAATCAGACTTTTATGGGCATTGAGCTGAATTACTTCACAACTAATACCATCAGTGGCTGAGCTGCATTGTAGAAACAAAGTTTATCAGCTTAGAAAAAACATGACAAAACAGGTCTAACTATTAACTATCTAACTATACTCATGGGACAAGAGGTGCTTCCCTTTTCTTTCAGTTCTGAAGCATGCCCCTCCTACAAACAGGCTGGTTCACTCTTGTATGTTTGCGGCGAGATTCAAAACAGATTTTTCTGGGCTGAATAGTGTAAAGCAAAGGTGATTTACTTCACATTCATCGTTATGACTTGAGGGACTTCACTGTTTGTCACTGTGTACATTTTTAAAGAAACCTCGGGCGTAACTACTAGAAACTCAAAATCAAGAATTTGTTGCACGCCTTGCTTTCATCTCTGTTCTTTGCCTTGATCATCCTGTTTGCCTGCTCTGGAAGCTAGCTGTTAAAACACTTTGCCATTGTTTCCTGTAAGGCATGTGTGTCAGACTCAAGGCTGAATCCGCCCCGCCGGTGGGTCAAGTGCGGCCCGCTGAATGACTTTGCTATTGCAAGAAGACATAAATTGCATTTCTATAAAAGAAGCTGCTATTCCTATACAGTCCACTGGGAGTCGCACTCTGAGTGAGCGCATGCGTTAGACCAGGGGGACCAGGTCAATGGCCAAGGCAATGCCGGTAGATTGCCTTGCATTGAAAAAAGAAATTTACGTGAGGTCCCCGGAAAACTTGGTAGTGCTAATTAGCGCTTGATCCTTGCTTACTAAAGGCCACATTTTTATTTCATTCAAATGGGCCGAGCACAGTTGGGTGGGGGATCGCCATGATTTGGTTGATTGAAGAGTACCTCAGGAGCCGAAAAAGTACATTGATATGTGATTGATATACAGCGGTTAGTCTAATTTATAATTTAGAGAATACCAACATGTAACATTACAGCAACATCATTTAGTCCGAGTGACAAAGAAAAAGGATATCTGTACTCAATTAACAAACTAAGCTGGTAAACCATTATTTTGTATTCTTTACATAACATGAATGAATGAAATGCCTAACAACTGTACATATTGATATGAAAGACATTAACTTGTAAAGCCAGTTTCCAAAACACAGAAACTTTCCACTTCGGTGGGACCCATAGAGCTCCGAGGATGAGAGTCACAAAGTACTAAGCAATGGACCGACATAGTTGGGTGTCAGTATTGTCGTTAACTTTATTTGGTTACAATGGGAATACAATAGCCTTATCTTTAAGTGAGGAAAAGAACCTCAAAGTCATACAATTCCAAACACAGCCAAGGTGATCTTTATCCATGAATGATTAGCAGAAATCTGACCACTGTTAGGGTTTTGTTCTCAGTCTTTGATGACAGCATCAAAGAAGAAAGACAGAATGTGTGTGTACTTCATATAGGTTCAATTAAGCATTGTGTTGTTTTTAAATGCCTTTCCAGAGAGGGAAACCAGGCTTTTCGGGAAGCCATGGCTTCACTTGAGAACCATCCACGCGTCAGGGGCCTGTCCTTTACCTCATTCCTCATCCTTCCATTCCAGAGGATCACAAGGCTCAAGTTGCTTGTACAAGTGAGTGTGCCAACATGAGTTCAAACTAAATACACACTTTAAAAATGACCAGATTCCGCAATGAGTGTGAACATAATGTTGCAGTCATAATTAGGGCTCATCTGTCTTTTTTTATTCCAGAATATCCTGAAAAAAGCAGAAGAAAACTCAGAAATTGAACAAAATGCTATAAAAGCACATCAGCAACTGGAGCAGGTGAGCATTAGGGGGTAGGGCTCAAGCTAGGTTCTAAAGACAAAGGGGTCAAAGGATTGAGTCAACATATTGATATTACGACCATGACATTACTATAATTTGGCATTTTTATTCATGAGCAAGAACTATTAAACTATTTCTTGTGTGACTTTTATTTACGTTTGCAAGTGGAATCTACTAACATCATAAATAAGGAGCATGTCTCTTCAAACACCCTTTAAATACACATATTTTCTTTGTTGCCAATTTTCTTTTTGTTGGGAATTGAAACAGTGACGTATAATGACCAGTATGACCAGCTAAAACTGGATTAGGCTGCAGGTGTTGTCACAGTGTTCATCACAATTCATGTTTTTCCCTGATGTGCGTCAAACGTTCACCGAGCTCAATTCAAGTGACGCAAACTAATTTCCATCGAAGTGGACTCGGAACTCCGATGATCATTTAATATGAAACAAGACTGACATTGAGTCTTATTCAGTTTCGCCATATCATACATGCTATATTATATGCATGATTTATTTGCCTGCTTCTGGTTGTGGTGGACCGCATAAAGCACAACCCCTTAACCGGTATCCATTATGAACTACACATTCAGACTTTTTTTAAGATAACTTAGTTACACCTCAGTCCACTAAAATAAACAACCGAGCATACAGCAAATGGTGTTTCTATGTAAAAAATAGCTGTCACTTTGAAACAATGCTACCAAATTAAAGATAAAGAAAAAAAAAATAGGACATTATTGGGTCATGGATTGATGATGTATCTGTCTCTTCCCCAGATTGTGAAAGAATGTAACGAGGGGGTGAGAAAAATGAGTCGCACCGAAGAGCTTATCAGTATTGAGAAAACACTGGAGTTCAAATCAAAGGTAAAGAAATGATGGCACATCTTGTCCTGTATCCATTTCATTACGTGTTGCTGCCAATGTGGCTGAAACATATTGGGAAGAGGGAATCAACCCAATCTGTACCAATCAAAAAGTGATACACTTTAAGCTAATGAGGAAGAGCACAGGTCACACATTTGGGACAACGTTAAAAATCGTGTCGTTTAGATATCAGAACACTCTACAAACGACTTGACTAGTTTAAAACTATTTCAACTGAAGGTGGCAATGGAAGCTGAGATGACTTATCCAATCAAAACAAAAGTCAAAAAGCTTACATTGACAAACGTGCCATGGAGAACAACTTTCTGCCATTTTCTGGATTAAATCTATAACAACTCACCCCACAACGATTAGAATTTGGGGCTTGATTGGAAACCAGGATTAATATAGTTTTCTAGTGTTGCAGGTGTTGAAGGTAAATAGTTCCTTGTGAGGAAACGTTTGGCAAAAGTACTTCCACCCACAACCTGCGCAATGATGTGATCAAAGGACGTCTCTCTCTCTCTCATATATATCATATCATCCAGGCACAATGCCAAAAACCTTTTAGAAGAAAAAAAAAAGTGTACCTAGTATAGGCACACTGTCACAGCCCGGCTCTCGGACTGCGAAGAAACAGGAAGACAAACGAGTGAGCTGCGAAGAGCAAAATAATTTATTGTTAGGAAAAAAATTCAAACATTTTAATATGGAGGTATCAGTATTGCAGTGTATGTATGATGTATGGTAGTGAGCACAAAACAGAACTCAGACACAGCACCGGTGTCATGCCAGACACAAGGCTCTTCTTCCTGAGCCCACCGGTGCCAAATGGAGAATGTATTTAAGGCAGGGCTACCTCGACTCAGGTGTGGCTCATCTAGCTGACGACACTCTAATCAGCACCTGTAAACAACCAAAACCACAAAAACACATCGGATATAGGAGGAGGACGGTCGTCCCAGTAACCTACATACATGCAGTTAAGGGGGTTTGTAAGAGAAAAAGGGGATCCAGTTAAATAGTTGATGAAAGAATAGATATTGTACATAAACTAAAACTGCACTAGTGGTGATGAAGTACAGGTTAGTTATAGGGTAATAGAAGAGGTAGAGGAGGTTGTGAAGAGAATATTGCGCTTGGTGTTGTATGTTGAGACCAATAGAGGGCTGTAGAGCCACAGAGTATAAGCTGTTAAGACTGAAATAGCTTTAAAGCAATTCTTGTTGAGGCTTCAATGCATATTTAGCTGTCGGCCATTGTCGTATGTCGTACTGTCACGCACCAACCGCCAAGTCAAATTCCTTGTATGTCTGACATATTATGGCAATAAATGTTTCCTGATATTTAACACATAAACGATCAACAATTAGTTACATTGATTTTGTCACAGATGGAAAGAGGCAAAGATCCATGTGCCTTATGAGCAACCATTTATCACTGAGAATAATGCAAAGAGTGCTCAACTGACCAATTGGCGATCATTGTGGGAATTTATTTTGACAAATAAGCATGGGCGTTTGGTTTTTAGCAGTGTGGGCTGGAGTAAAAATCTTTAGGTACGGCTATCCAATCAATTTCAGCGAACATCCCAGAATTATTTAATGCAAAATCGTAAAAGGTATCAGAAAGGCAAAAAACAATCAGTTAAATATGCAACGTTTATTGAAAACACAAATAGTTAAGATCTTTAACTAAGAGGTTTTAGCTAAATTGCGGCTTTTTGATTGGACTGTTCTCCATAAATGTCAACAATTGCTGTTGGGCCTGAGCAACTAACTGTAAACAAACCACGTGTTGCAATCGTAGCGCTTTTTACATAAATCCAATTCAAACTACGAACTCCATAAAATGGAAGTTTGTCAGGTCCTGCAACGCCACCTCGGGAATGGATTCAACCTTGCTCGCAGTGTAACACGTTTAAGGCACTCAGTTCCGTTGGTACAATAGCAAGAGGCGTGTTTCAAGTACAAAACACTTTAATTAATGGAGCAAAACCACATGGTATCAACAGTACTAAAACAACGAGCCATATGTATTGGTTTAAACAAGTGTTGGGCTGTGGCTTACCGGTGGCCCAGTACAGGTGAGGATCCCAAACATAAAGAGGAGGCACCCAGTTCGCACACACTTGCACTCACACGAGGGTTCACAAGCCCAGGATGCCCCAAAAGACACAGAACAAAAGGGGATACCAGAGGACTCCGGCCCCACCACCTGGACCTTGACAGCGCCTACAAATACAAAGATCACTGTTACCCAAAGACACACCCTAGCTCTCAGAAGGGAACTAAACAAAATCCAATAACTGGGGGATACGACGGCTCAGATGGCCACCTTACCTGGTGTAAGGTGGGCATCTGATCCGTCGTATTCCGTCGTCCGAAAGCCAAGGTAGGTCCGGCTCTCCGTTTTTAGAGAGCCATTTTAACAAAATGGCTCTCTAAAAACGGCAGTCTCTTTAAAAAGGCTAACGCTGGAACATCGGTCCACGGCACCAGAGGCGGAGTGGCGATCAGGACGGCGCCCGACTCTATCGGCAAAACCGCATCAATTGACCGATTGACGTAAGGCAAAACAGCAGCGTTCCTCCTTAATCCCGCTAGCAGTCCCCTGCGGCCAAAAATAACGTAAAATCAATGGGGTAAACACGTCAATGACAGGGACTCGTGAAAGGAACATACCCACCGATCAGGCAGTGGTCACCTGCTCCCGAAGGCTGTAAGAAGGCTACAAAGCTGCTACAGACGGCTAAGTAACAAATCACGGTTGTTAATGTGACCCCATATTACAAAAAACCTCGGAGTTATACGCAACTCACCGACAAAGCCGCGAGTATGACGCCCTTGCAGAACGCGGGAAAACGTCAGATGGTTTGACTTTGCACCTGACGTGGCCGTCCGACCGGAAACGTCAGATAGAAGCCCCGGGAATCCCCACCGTATTTATGGGAGACCCTCTCTCCCGTGATTGGCTGGCAGGTGCTTGATAGTTAAGGGCAGGAGGCTTCAGTAATAAGCTCCCTTCTGCTACACACGCTAACTATATAAACATGTTTTGAGGAGGGCATGGCCCCGTCCAATGACTAACCAACTCAAATGCTTTGTTAACTGATGATAACCAGTTATAGGATACTCTCTTAAGGGCAGGTTCTCCACATCTACTAACGGGCAAAAAGCTCTCACAGAATACAATATTCAATACAAATGATATCATTTAGAAAGTGACCACATCGTGTCAAACCAATATATAAAAATGACACTAATCAGACGATCACATCATTTAAGAAAATGAGGTAACACTGTTGTAACCCTGATTTTGCATGTACCTCTTTCCTTGTAGTCTGTGCCTATCATTTCACACTCGCGCTGGTTGCTAAAGAAGGGTGAAGTGCAGCACATGACTGGTCCTAAGACCTCTAGGACCATGCGGAGTCGTAAACTCTACCAACCAGTCTACCTCTTCCTTTTTAACAATCTGCTGCTGGTGACCAAGCGCAGCTCAAGGTAAGCATTCGGTAGTATTTGCTTACAGGGAAACACTCAATTAAACTCTAAATCCTTCCTACATGAAGCTTTTTATTTTCCCTTTGTGCTAAAACTGTTTTACACAGGTGTTCACAACGATCACTATGAAGGATATAGCCTGTGGTGCTGTGTAACTGTATTGCATTATATAAATATAATTTGTTGTTTAGCCTACCCTCATTGAGATTAATGGACTGGACAAAATAAGTACAACATAACACAATTCAAAATGACCAGAAACCTGTATGCATTCATAATGTTAATTCAGTTCAACTTGTTGTCAGTGGAGATAAGTTTCAGGTTATTGACTCATGCACACGAGCCATGTTGAGGACTGAAGACCTTGAAGACCAGGGCCAACTTCTAGCCAATGTCTTTAATCTGAAACTGCTGGAGAACCAAGAAGAGCGTGCGGTCAACTACATGCTCAAGACCTCGAGTATGTAAGTACGTGAGACAGAAAAGGCTTATGGTTCAACTAAGCGGTTGTGATTGAGAATGGGGTCAAACTAATCATTGTTATTTGTGATATAGATTTCGAATTGAAATAGTATTAAATCAATCTGCTGATTGTGAACTGTTTGGAAAGCAAACTAATTTGTTTAAATTGCAATTTAACAATAACTTTTCTTAGTTCTTGCGCTTTTGGCACATGGTAGTTAAGCTTTTAGCCCAGTCCGTCTTTATAAATGAGACTTTGTTCTTAATCACTCGCCTGGTACTAAAAAGGTTGAATACATTTTTTTGTAAACAAAATGAGGTGAACATAGGGTTAAACCAGCTAACCAAAAGATACCCTAACAACTGCAGTTCTCTCAGCGGGTTTATAAAGCTGGTTATCCACCAGGTAAATCAATCAGCATTTCTCAATCTGTCTGTGAGCGTGTTCACATGAAGAGGTGGGTTTGCGGCTTATGGCCAATCCAAACATGGATGAGTCTGCTGTCAGCACAGGGGTGTGTTTTACAAACAAAGAGAAAACTATCATATTTGTAAAGTAAGAGCAATTTAAACATAAAACTCAATCAAATTTAATTCATTTTGTTTTGTATAGCCCAAAATTTTCTCTGAGGGCTTTCAAATCTGTTCACATGCGAGATCCTCTGTCAAATCCTTACATTGGCGCAGAAAAACTGTGACAATGTCCCCATTCAGCAAAAGGGAGAATGGCAGAGGAGGGATCCCTCTCCCGAGATGGACACTGCAATGGATGTCATGTGTATGTAAAAGATGTGACAGAAATATTGAGAAAGTATGTGTAAAGCAGGTAACACTGCAGGGACATCCACCACCAGATGTGACCACCATCAGTTATACCCAACATCAGATATGACCACCATCCAAAGAAACCTGTGGGGAGGGACATTGGTAACATTGTTTTATCCCAGCCAACTTCGGGCGAGAGACGGGGTACACCAGCCAATCACAGGGCTAACACAGAGACATACAACCATTCACACACCTACGGGCAATTTAGAGTCCACAATCAACCTAATCCCCAGAGCATGTCTTTGGACTGTGGGAGGTAGCCGGAGAACCCGGAGAGAACCCACGCAAACACACAGAAAGGCCACTGGGTGGAGTCGAACCCAGGACCTTCTTGCTGTGAGGCAACAGTGCTAACCACACCACCGTGCCGCAGTAATAGTAATGTGATTAATAATAATAATGATAGTGGTCGCCACAGTTGTCAGCATGGCATGGCAGGAGGCAGGAACAGGGTCCAGATAAAACCATGATTTATAAAAACCTGTGAGGAGAGAAAGCATATACTCTCGGGAAAAAAAGTTATGTCCATTGATGTTGACCGTAATAGTACTGGGACTGATAATAGGGTTAGAACCAGTATGTTTCAGCAGGGCCATAGCAGGAGGCAGGACCAGAATTAACCATGATCCATGGATACCTGTTAGGCGAGAAAGCACAAAAACTCTGGGGAAGAAGTTGAATTAATGAATTGCATCAATGAGATGTGAATTCGTATAAGAGACAGAAGAGGAGAGGAGCTCAGTGTGTCCTAGGAAATCCCCTGTCAGACTAGACATAGCAGCTGATCTAAGGGCTGGTTCAGGCTAACTTGAGCCAGTCCTAACTATAAGCCTAATCAAAGAGAAAAATCTTCTTTGTCCTAAATGAGGTGACTGTGCCTGCCCCCGGACTGAAAGTGCAAGCTGGTTCCACTGTTTTGAGTTTAACATCGTTTCTTTGTCATCCATGTTTTGATGATAAGATATTATTCAAGTTTTAAAAGCTGCAGGACAGTCTCGCCCGGCTTGATTGATAGACACAATTGAGTATAGTCTGCCAAACAATAAAAGTGTATGCAGTCTTTTCTGATAACTTTGCCAAAGGAAGCAAATACAAGGTAAATACAATTGGTACAAGCACAGAAACTTTTGTAGTAATTGAGGTTTCACTGTTTACTGGGAACTGGGAACGATGCGATAAGTAGGACTTAAACCATCTGAGTGTGGTTCCTTCGATACCAATCAAACTCAGGCACAGGTACAATAATATCAACAACAATAATAACTCATAACTTTCCTAAGGATGTCTTAAGTGTTAGTAGGTGTAGGGAATCAGCAATTAATCAAAAAGTTAAATAATGAATTATCACTCTTTAGATTATGCAGTGATATTATGGAGCTCTACAAAAAAGAGGAACAAGATATTTAGATAGATATACTTTATTCATTGCCAGGGGAGAATTTGTTTGTAGCAGCAGCAAGCAAAGTTACGGAGTAAACATAAATGCTCAATATATACAATAAAATGATAGAGCAGAACATATTACATTTAAGAAAATTAAATAATAAAGACAATGCACAAAAAAACAAAGTATATACAGTATATACGGTGGGATGGAATAGGTATTAAAATTTACAAACTAAAATAGCCAAATAGTCCTGTTCATTCATTTAGACTTTTCACACTAAAACAAGGTATTAATACGAATATTTGTGTTTTGTTTTGTCAAATTATGAATTTATATAAAACCACTTGGTTTCAATTATTGGCCCAAAGTGCTTAACATACCAAACAGGAATCAAGGTTGTTAAAATGTTTAACCTTTAGCTGGTTACTTATTACATCCCCTAAACAGGAGTGAAAAGCTGCGATGGACGTGTGCCCTCACTCCTAACAGGCGCACACGCTTTATGTCTACTAGTGCCCACCAACAAGGTGAGACAGAATACCACATCGTTTGTGTACGGTCCTCAAAACGCAGATGTGGAGATGTGAACTAACTCTCTGTGATATTTATCAGACTCTCCGCAGGTGCAATGTATTCACTCATACTCATCTCAGGAGCCGGATGAACTCTCCATCGAGACGGCTGATGTTTTAAACCTCCTGGAAAGAACAGACGACGGTGTGTAAATATTTTCATATCCTAATCTTGTGCATTGTTTTCTCCTTCCGTCTTCACTTCACGCTGGTCTTTCTTTGTCTTCTATATTTCAGGCTGGATGATGGGGGAAAGGCTCCATGATGGCGAAAGGGGCTGGTTCCCCTGTCGATTAGTAGAGGACATCCTGAGCAAGGAGGTCCGAGCTCAGAACCTGAGAGAGGCCTTCAGGATCCAGCAGGCCCAGAAAGGTGGGGGAGTTCTGCAAACTGAAGCCAGGATTGGGTCAAGGGCTGCGAGACGCACTCCAAAGTACTCCACCTTTTCCAATCCTTAATGAAGAAAAACAGAACGGCAGTAACAGTGATGAATGTGAACATTTAAGGCCATATGAACCAAAAGAAATGATCAGGATACATGTGACTTAAATGCCATGCAATGACATCTTGTTCCTTTGATTTTCACTTAGCAGTTGATGGCTTTAGAAATCCAAATGATCAAAGCACTTTGAGTCACTTATCTTGTACAACCGATGCTGCATGTCTCATATAAAAGGCACACTGAAGGTGTTTTGTAGGCCGACGTACAGTGGTGTGTATTACATGGGACAAAGCTCTCAAAGGTTTTGGTTTGGGGATGGAAATACACTTGTAAAGAAAGTGTGACTATTCAGCTGCACGGGCATGTTTTAAAAGTTGTGTGTGTTCATTTCATTGTAAAATACCTTTCATAACTGAATTATATCCTACAGCCACAACACAAACATTTAAGTGTACGGTGACCACAAGAGTGTAATGTAAAACAAATCTAAATCTAATACAGAAAACAAAACAAATAAGCATTTTAGCTTACATGACCACTTTAAAAGTTTTGATGAATTTCTATTTAAAATGAAGTCTGCACCTATAAATAATCAAATAATTGAGGAAGCTAAAAAGATACTCCACCAAAAATCTTTTTAATTTGAAACACTGCACACTTCCATGGTTGATTGCTGGCTGTAAAATATTTCATATGTAGTCAGCTTAGCTTCAGTTACAAAATAGACAGGACATCCATAAAAAAATGTGTGGTGTCAACATATCTGCATCAAATATATCGCACCCACACAGAAACTCAATATATCTCTTTGGGTGTTTTACAAAACTATGAACATCCATATCAAAACTGGCAAACGTACCAAAAAAGACCAAGATCCAAATCTGCCTATACATGACTGAACAGTATAACGGCTTGGCAAGGTGACTGATCAGAACACACACGCCCTTATCAAAACAGACTCAGTCTGTTATGGTCTACACACCCCATTATATTTAAATAGCATCTGACGAGTCTTATTTAGTGCAGAAACATTTGACATATTCTGTTAATGAAACTCACGTCCCAGTTTCCTTTACAATAGTTATAGTTTGTTTTAGCTATCATATTGCATTACCCGTGACCCCTAGTTGGTTACATTAGATTTAAGCTAAATAACCTTGTTGAATGGCACTATATTTACTACAATATTTAAATCATACTCTTGTGCTATTTTTTCAGAAGTTTGATTGTGAAACAAGTGGGGAAATATGCGCAAAAGACTGTTTTCATCTAGATTAATGTAGTACATATAGCGTATTTCATTTCTGTAGCTCATTATGACGAGAGAAGAAAGAAAACCACAACTCTTAGAGCTAATAATCTAACCTGAACATACATTAATTTTTTAATTTCATACACTTGAAAGCAGGCAATGTTTTTTCAGTTTCAATATTGTAGATTTATATGTCTTGATTTTTTAGCATTGACAAACTTGAATGTTTGCCATTGTGCAGGTATTTTTCAATTTGTTCTAACTTTAAAAAGGTGGTAAATTTGACTATGCAAAGATATAGAAGAGTAATGTATTTGTGAGCCAAGCATGGAGTCACTCTTCCTTTGTGTGTATTTTTGGCCGTTCTGAACTGCTTTCCTTCAAAGGTTAGAGCTGATAACGGCATCTTGACCAATGGAGAATCACCCACTATCTAGTTTCCCCTTTGGTAACCACTGTTGGCTTTGTCAGTACGTTTCCCACCCTTTGCACGAGCTTCCTGCTCAGCTGATGCCATGTTGGGAGCTTCTGCAATGCATCTAGATCTTCTTCTTAGATGTCACATGATAAAACAGAAACACGTGAGTGTACTAGCATATATTACAATAATCAGTGCAAATAGAAAAAAAATAATGTACAAAGATAATTTTGATTGAACAACTCATAACTTATAGCTATACAGAATGTAAATATAGCATACAGACATCAGAAAGTGTTATTGCAGTTTTATAGTAAGATGTACTTGGAAACATAATATTCTACAGGTAGCACCTTCCTGTGCATTACCAACGGAGCACCTGCTGTAATAACGTATAATAGTATAGTATCATTTTACACCTGCCAGAAGCCCAAGCTGACCACAATCTTTGTTCTCTGTCAAAGAAAGAACTGCAAACTAATAGTCACCTTCAGAGCCTTCGGTGTTTTCCAGTGAAGATACATTTTATGTGGATTACCCTTTTTTAAACATTCTATACAACAGTAGTACACATACACAAACACGGATCTACACCAGGGATGAATACTATAAGCAGTTTACTGCAAAATGACTGCAATTTATTATACTGTATGGGGTGTGTCAACACAATGGATCAGCATGATTGTAAAGCATGTTCATCTTTAAATATGCTCTATGTACTGTGATACAAATATTTGATGTTCCATTTAATAATTACTAAAGAATTGTTATTTCATTTTGTAAGATAAATTGTTCATGAAACAAATGTAATCAGAGATGTCCCTGACTCACTGACGAAAATGGACAAATGTAATTTGTATTTTATTCATGCACAGCTGTTCTTTACACTTTGTACTCCTCTGGGGCTGGTATAGTCAGGCATCCAATCATTTACCACTTCCAGCAGGGCGCTTCAGGAGGAGATTCATAGTATCATCTTCCATTGTAACCTTTACATTGTAGCGGATAAGCATTGCTACAATTAAGGCTGGTACGAGCTTAACAAAGCCACCCGGTCAGCTAAAATACAATACCAGGGCAAAAAGTTGTGGTTATTTCTTTCTGAGCAAATATTCTATCACTCCAAGCTCTCTGGCTTGAATAGATAGAGTTTCATTTAGGGCAGTATTCGGATCTGTCACTTTTTGCTCTTAAAGTGATTTTCTTTTGTAGAAAATATTGCTTTTCATAATATTAAATAACAATAAGTATTCAAACCAAGTTAATATCACATAGATTATGTTTGCTCTGATTAATGTATAAAGATTTCTATAAACTTGATTGCTACTCCAGCAGTGATTTGGATGGGATCAACAAAGGTATCTTAGGGATGTAAGGTCCTATGTCACGGTGTGGTTCATGTCCTCTCTTATTTCTGCCACTCGTGTCCCCCGGGTAACTTCACTTCCTGCCTTGCCTTCCTGCCATCCCCTGTGATCGTCTGATAGTTTCCTCCTGTGTCCAATCACCTGCACATCCCTAGTGTATTTACGCCGTGTGTCTCTTGTGTCACTGGTCGCGTCATTGTCTATCGTCCTGGATGTTCCTCGTTCCTGCCTGCCTTTTCCCCCCTGGTACCTGTATGCGTTTTTGCCCCTTGACCATTTTTGTGTTGGAGTTTATGACTATTAAAGTCTTTTTGTTGAAGAACTCTGCATTTTAGTCCTGCCTTCCCCCGCATCACGTGACATCCTATATATTTATAGTTTTTCTCCGACCAAAAATCAAACCGCGAAGTCTAAGCAAAACCAAGCAGCAGTACCATTTAAAAGGTTTGGACACATTCCATCCATCCATTGTCAAACCGCTTATCCTGTACACAGGGTCGCGGGGGGGCTGGAGTCCATCCCAGCCAACTTCGGGCGATAGGTTTGGACACATTTCAAACGTCACGTCCAAACTTTAGATCAACAAAGCGAGACTTGACAACAACAAGCTGTGAAGTTGGCTGGACGGACACCATCCATCCATCTGCAAACTGCTTATCCTGCACACAGCGTTGTGGAGGGGCTGGAGTCTATCCCAGCCAACTTAGGGCGAGAGACTGGGTACACCCTGGACTGGTCGCAAGCCAATCACAGGGCTAACACAGACATACAACCCAATAATAAGTATATGACAACTTGTATTAAGCTTTCCAAAATGCACTTAAAGAAAAGATATCCGTCCTTGTTACTGCTCAACGTGTAATATTCAAGAATTCGTGGACCATTTGCTATTCTGCAAAACAGGGTTGCACACCCAGAGAATACAACACAGTTGTGGCCTAGTCCATTCATGATGTACAAGATAAGCCTTACAATACAAAAGAATTAAGAAATGGAACACAAAAGTACTGCATTTCTGTTTTCCATCTTTTGTATGTCACACATTCCAACATGTTATCTTTAGGCAAGGTTGATGGCCGGCAGGACAGGCTAGCTGAGGAACGGGTTGGTGACCTGTATAGGAGAGGGTGAATGCGGGAGGTGAGGCAGCATGAGTGGCGGCGGGCTGTGGCAGCGGCGCGGAGATCCTAGGCAAAATAAAAGAATATCCGCAAGCCTGACTGTTTCCGGTGGTCATGGTAAGTGTGTAGTGTCGCTTCCTGTTGCCAGTGTATCTGATAAGGATGCATAAAGTGCCACTGCCCTTCACCCCCTTGGCAAGTTTGATCATAACCTGGTCCTGTTGACACCCAGGTATGTTATTCTGGTGCAGAGGCTTCCTATAATCACAGACTGTGTGGAGATGGTATGAAGGCACATCATTGTCAAAATCTGAGAGTGCAAATGAGATCTATGCGCGCGCAAATGAAAAGAGTGTTGGCTAGCTCAGCTGTGTTCCGGCTCGATGCGGCTGACACGATACAGGACACTGTTGTGTTCAAAAATGAAGAAACGCCGGACGGACAGAGGTAATCGCTGATCAAAAGGTTAAAATCAAATGTATTTAATAAAGGAGATGGCGTTGCGGTAAAAAGAACATCTCAGCTGAGGAGCCGCTGGTCTCAGCAACCAACAGGCCCCAGGTCAGTCCTTTTGACCATCCCTAGTGCCCGTCTGTAGCCTCCACCAGTGAACTCGAGAACAATGGTTCCTACAGGTATTTATAACAATGCTTAAAGGTGTGAAAGTTAGTGTCCACACCTCTGGGAGTGGTCTTCTGATGAGTTCAATGTAACTCGGATTTCGAATGATCATTAGTCAATATCAGTTGTTGTTCAAGTATTTCATGCATGCATTCCAGTTGATTACATTACATCAAATACAATCATAACTGCATTGGTATTATTCTATTACAGTTGCAGAATTACAGTGGTTTTACAATATTGTCATTACTTTATTGATTACAGTTTCAGAATCATGGCTGTATTCTGGTGTACACTATATGCATTTTTATTAATTTTATGAACCGGATCGTCAATTTGTTTCTAATATCCTACAACACCCATGTTCAAGGTGAGTTTTTCCCAATGTCTAAGGAGCCGCAGAGCCTCAACTGGCTCACCTGCACGCTCTCGCCTTGATGGACGGCGTCGACGTTCTACAAAGTGAAGCACCCGACTCAAACTGGGATCCGCGCGCTGTGCATCCAACAGCTTATCTCTAGGTAGAGGGTGGACATCAGACAACTCATGTGGTTGAATGGATCGACCAATGAGTGTGGGAACAGAGATGTGACAGTCAAACACTTTCATCTGAAGCTCACACACTCCAGTTGGGGACGTCCTCAGACCTCCACATCCAATCAGAACAACCGATGTGGGAGCGACAGAATCAGGAGAAACAAGGTTAGCCTTTTCCAATAATGGAAGTGTGGCAGCACGAGATTACATAATTGCGCCAAGTTATGGCAATTTAACTACAGTGCCACCTTGTGGCAGAACAGGGACCGGCAACGCCACCCTGGGAATTCACCCAGAGAATACGAACTAATAAGGTCACGCAGGTAAGTATCACAAAAGATGCCAAAGACGTGGTTCAATGTACAAAAAGGGGGTTAAGTTTATTACAATAAAATACCAGGATCCATACAACTATTTAAAACACGCTCACAATCTCCACAACAAAAGGTGAATTAATGGGGGTAATAATGGTCAAAATAATAACAAAATAATGAACGCTGAGGCTTACCAGTGGTTGTGGAGGGGACACGAGGGCAGCGGGGGAGGTTTCAAGAGAAGACACCCGTGAACACAAAAACAAAATAGTGAGCACAGCAAAACAAATGAAAACGAAAGACCACAGCAAACGAGCGAAGGGATACCACCACCGGGACACCACACCACCACTTCGGCGTTCAGCTCTAAAAAGAATAAAGAAACAATAAAACGTTACACGCGTACATACAACCGGGTTCACTCACCCGGTTATAAAGAAACAAAAATACAGAACAAACTAAACAATAAAGAAAACAAGATAACTCCGTCGACCCAATAAGTCAAGGGGAAGATCGAACGTCACACTAAAATTGTTCATCCGGGTAAAGCCGTCCGAGCACAACGGTGTAGGCGGTCCGGCCGAAAACAATTGAGGCAACGCAGTCCAAAAAAAACCCACATGTACGCAAACCGAGGTAGAAGCCGTATAGACAAAACAGCAGCTAGTTGGACTGCTAACGGTGGCCAAGATCCTCCGGTACGACCGCCCAGTTCCAATTGGGCGAGTGAACAAGTTACTGACGTCGCCGTGAAGGAGACAGCTCGGGCGATCAGACCGCTCGGCAAGCTTCGTGGCGGTCGCTCTATGTTAGGGAGCTACGCGGCTCCGACAGCCGGGGATCTATGGGGATCACATACGAGATATAAAAGGCAGCTGACGGCAGTAGCGAGATAAAGTGCGCGGAGACAGCCAGTTCACCACCTTACCTGTAGCAGCGCCGAACAACCATGCAGGGTGAATGACGCGGAAGACTGACACAGTTCCGTCACCTGGCCAAGAGGGCGATAGGAGGGAGGAGACTACTGTGGTTTGTTTATACCGGTCCCTGCGCTCTGATTGGTCCCGCGGGCATACAGTGATTAGGAGTCTACTCCTACTGCTACAGAAGCACACGAGAACTTAGAGAACAGGCCATCGAGCCACTGTCCAGCATGGCACTGGTAAACTGGTTGAGACATGGCAGCCGTTTGTATCTGCAACCAGCACTGAAACCCATTGATGGTTGTAGAATCTGGGCCCAATCTGGCTTCATAGGAACAGCTCTATTCAGGCTGAGACATGGCAGCCGGGTCTATCGGCAACCAGCACTGAAACAGGTTCTGGTCCATTAATGGCTGCCAAACCTGGGCCAGATCTGGCATTATAGAATCAGGCCTATTCAGACTGGGACATGTTGAGAGAAAGAAAATTGGTTGTCTGTCAGGTTGCTAAGGGACATAGACAGCGGATTTTTGTATTTCAGTACAGTGTGCACTGTTCTCGAATCTAAGATGACCCTGGATGGCAGCCTCGATGTTGCAGTCTCTTATTTTTTAAGCTTTTAGCGGTTTTTAGCTCTCAGTTCTCTAGTTGCATTCACCAGGGAATAACTTTTGAACACTCAAGAAAGCTTCTTAACTCAGAAGAGTATTTAGCCCGCTAGCCCCAGTGCTTCCAGGTTCGAGCCACAGCAGTCTGTCTGCCTGCCTGCCACATTGCTAGCCAGCACGAGCCCACCTATTTACCCTGGCGGGATCTTAGCAGACCTGGAAGGGTAGTCAGGCTAACAGACTGGAAGCTCTCCAAACTACCAGCCTGCTAGTCAGAGGACCCTATGGCCCATCTCGATCTTGCCTTCTTGTCAAAAAACGGATTGTTGCTGCACAACTCAAAGCCCATCTCAAAGATCTGTTGCAGCCATTTCAAGAGGTTTATACGGTGGCCCTGTGCAAAACACAACGGCAAATAGGAAAACACAACGAAATTAACTCCTTACGGAAAGGGTAGGGCCTTATAGCAGGAATCAGAGGACGGACCCTTCTTATTGGACAGACAGACACTGTCAGTCTTTTAACAGGAAATGTTACAGGGCTCACGTTACGCACAGCAAGTGTCACGTATTGAGCAAGACAGTCACGCACTCCCGCCACACATCCAATTCCTCACGCCAAGGAATCGGTCCTCGAGCCGTGTCGGCCATAGCGCCTGCGGCGTCCACGGGCCAGAGCGTCCGCTGCATCCCCCCTTTTATTTACAACACCTAAATATAAATGGACAAAGAAACACCGGTGACAGTGGTGAAACACTAGAACACTCCTAAAACATCGCCATCTCTCCATGACTTTCTGCTGCGGCTCTCCGATTGTGCAAATAGTTAAGGAGTCACGGTAATTTGAATCCCCAAATTCACTTTCCGTCGCCGGCGAAAGGCTTCAGATTAAGAGGGTTAAAAGAAAGACAAAACAAAAACAAAACAATAATGACCCCAGAAAAGTAACTGCCGCTAGCTTCACTCAGTTACCTTTGATCACAGAGTCCGAGGCAATAGTTGGAGATGGAGAGAGCTTTTTGCATTGGAAGGAAAACAAACACAGGTGCACCATACAGCGAACTGAGAGGACTGAGAACTGTGCAGAGAAATCCCTCCACGTATCAAACAGAACGGACAACGTTATGGACTTAGGCTAAGCTAGCTGCCAGGCTAAGCTAGCTAGTGTGAGATGCATGTAGTGGTAAAAACATTCTGTAAACAATTGTCTTGTGCTAAAAGCCAGGTCTCAGTGGTTGACCCTGAGATGTAGAGATAGAAAGATTTAGGGTTTGCAGATGTGTTTGGGGAAGGGGGTTAACTTGCTCTCACAGACCTTCGATCAGAGGAGAATTGTGTGTTACCCTCAGCTTCACCGGAGTTCTTATTAGGGTTGCCAACCGTCCCGAATTGTCCGGGGCATGCCGATTTATGGATGATTTTGATATGTCCCGTCAGGACAGTTCCAGTCCCGTATTCCAATCACAGCCAATATATATATATATATATATATATATATATATATAT